GTGTGAGTGTTTTTTATTTTTAATCAGAAAATAAACAGCAATTTTAACGGTGTTCCAATAAGAATTCATTGGTCAAATTTTCACAGAATGTTCTTTAGATAAAAATCTATATAAAAAACGAAAAAAACTATTTTTGATTGAAATTCACAAATAAACTGCATCTCTACCTTAAACCAGGATAGGCACTGAACTGGAAAACGCGTAATTATTAGGGGCGAATATTTTGGCTGGGAACGTTATTACAAGTTTCGGAACAAAAATGCCGTCATCAATTATTAACGTGCCCCTTGTAAAAAATAAAACAACTGTGGCATGTTTTCTCCAGTAATGTCGTGCTGTACACTTTCCGCTCGTATCGCGTCCATTAATTAAATCATGGAGGTAGAAAAGAGAAGGAGTGAGGACGCTATTTAAGCCCATGTTAATCTTATAAACATCCTTTGTCTTCGCTCTGGTTAAGCCACTTATTGTTTTTGTTTAGAAGTCGTTTTATCTACATGATGATAGCCGCTTATTTACACAAGAAAACGAGAGTAGAACTGAAAAAAAATAAATTCCGTTTAAACATCGTCTATAAAATTGAATGCGCAAACCATAAATAAAAGAATTGTGCATGCGCAATGACCTTTATCGGATCACAAAGGTCATTTCACACTTATAGATAGCGGAAATTCTGCATACGGACGCTACCAAGATGTGTGATTACTTCTTTTCTGGTATTTTTCATCACAATAGTCGTCCAACTTTGGACATTAATTAAAAAAATCCCGCAAATTTCCGCAGTGAAATTTAAAGATACATGATGAGATTATAACAAGATGTTTTGACTCGTCATTTTTCATTGGTGTGCAGAACTGTGCAGATGTTTAAAATCGCGCATTTTGTTGTGTAAGATTTGGGGCGTTGAGTGCACTCAGCGTACGTCTTTCCCTGCATTTTGTATTATTGTTATCTGTTTGGGCATGCGCAGTGCGTTGAGAATCTTCACGAAGTTTCCGAATACAGCCGAAACACGTAAGCCGATTAACTGTGACATTGTACAGCGTGTTTGCAAACTAATTACAATGTGTATGTGAGTAAACAAATCCAAAGCATCATGAAACCAGCGGAAACAATAGCGTCCTCACTCCTTCTCTTTTCTACCTCCATGATTAAATCAATTATTTACTTTTGTTTAGACCCTCGCAGTACTAGCTATAATACCCAATGTTCAAGGTAACCAGTGTGCCCCCTTCCGCTATTAAACATGGGCACATCATTGTTTTTTTGAATGCCGCGTTGACGTTCGATATGGGACTCATATCGACGTACACAACGCGTGTGAAATACATTGTTTATTTCCATGAAATTCGAACACGCACTGCGCGACGACCACCGCGCTTTAAGCAAGTTTAAACCATTGTGCTTTTTGATATTTTTTCAACGTTTTAAATTAAAGCTACACTAACACATACAATTAGAGAAAACTAATAAATTGTTTCTAATATATCAAATTTATGTTTGCGTTTATCTGTAGTAACTGCTTTCCGTGTCTGCAATTCGTTCCACCCTGTGAATTGAATTTGACGAGGAATGGCTACCAGTAATAAAATAAATGCGCATGAGCATTATTATAAGTTCATCAGGGGTTTACCGGAGTAAGTTTGTTATAAACAATACAGATAGCCAGTGGAATGCGCGCGTTTTTTTTACAGATGTCCACAACTCATTAATATTCATGACTAGTGAACACATTTATGTAATTTACATATACAGAGCAGAAGTATTGGAACTTTGAAGCATGCAAAATGCAAGCTCAATGGTGGACAACAAAAAATCAAAAGTTAAAATCGCAATGAGGATAATTATAACAACGCTTTAAAATGAAATTGGGGGCGAAATTATCGTCAACAACTGGACGCGTTAAAAATCATTGAAATCTAAATGTTCGGCACAAACTATCAAAGATGACATAATATATCATACCATAGTTCAATAAAAAAAATGAATAACCTCAGAAAGTTTATTTGCCAGATGTCAGTTAAAGCGGATTTCGCCGTTTTGTTTGTTATTCGTTTTCTCCGCATCCATGAAGCCGATGTACTATTACCCCCCCCCCCCATGGTTTTCGTTTCTCTCCCACTCGTATGTGAGCACTGTTTTATAATGTTGAATACACAATACATTCCCGGTAACTTTATGGTATGAAATTATTGATTAGTGATTAGGTATTCAAATTAGTGATTAATCTCTTATAAAGGATCATACTTACCGTGGTCCCCTAGTATCATCCTAAGTAACGAATACGTGGGTCTTCCAGCCAGCTCCACGCGCTTTAGAGCATCTTTATGGGCTTCGTATCCATTCAATACCACCACGGTCGTTACCCCCAATCTAACACTGAATACAGACCCGTACCTTTCTGCCCATCGCATAAACGTCATCGGTAGTTTGTCGTCGACGTCCAATAAGCATCCGATCAGCGGATACCCGCTTGGCCCCGGTGGGAGCGATGTTAGAGCATGCGTCCATTTGTTCCTCTGTAGAATCACAACGATCAGTGAAAAAAGTACAACAAGACCAATGCCAAATGTATTCACTTCGGTGTATAACCTTCCTTGAACTTCGTCCTTGTCATACATGGTTTTCCGTATCCGTAAACACGATCTTAAGGTTAGAAAAAGTTCTTCATAGTGCGTCGCAGATTGCGTCAAAAGTGCCTGGAATGTTCAAATCAGCGTATTTGTTTTGGTTTGAATAATTAACGCGGGTGAATGACAGGCCAGAACAAGGTGGTTGTGACTTTATAGAGGTATCCGAACCAGAGCAAGCATACCATTACAAGTCGGGGGCGTGTCCCTCCGAATTGAGGGGTTTACACCAAAATCGGGGAGGGATAGCAATTACTCTACACGGAACGTACTTTTCTGGCCAATAATTGTTTTTTCTTTCAAAACTCGGCTTGTGAGTTTCAATGCACAAATATTATTATAGATCGTCGAGGATTTCATATGTGTAACGTTCCTCCCGTGTATAGTAAATAGCTCTAGTGTTCTATTTTGATAACATCGTAGTCCTAAAAGCGACCTACTTTAAAAGAGTCAAAGTAGCTGATTTGCATAGAGGTCACGTGGTACAACAGTTTGGTCACCTTCAAATGTCTTTCTTTGTGGCTAAAAAGTAGATTGCCCTCGTTTTGGACAATGTTGTTGACAAGGTTTTTCTTTAATTTCATTGAGGCGTGCGTTTAACTGTTCTATTGTTCCACAATCCATCAAGTTCATTTATTCTTTAACGCCAAAGTGAACTGTTTAACCTTTCACAGACAAACTGGGAATTGAAGCCAATAGGAAATGATGTCATTTTTGTCCGAAACTAACACCGAATTCACAAGAGATTTTTGCGAAATGCTGTACTATAATTTTGGGCGAGAAAATATAACAATCAAATTGTTCAGGATACGACATTTTGGGGGTAAAATGCACGGAGAAACATTAAAATGTTAGATTTGTTTTTTAAAAAATCCCTAAAACATATACTTCCCACATCGTAACAACCCCCCCCCCCTCTCAGTAGTGAGCGTTTGGGACGAGCTGGTCGACACCCTGGATAACGCATTAAATTGGCGTAATGCCATTCGATTTGGAAGATGGCCAGATAGCCCCTTCACGATGTCTAAAAAGGTATCGCGGGTTCAACGGTGGGTTACTCGGGTACGTGTGATCACTGCTCGAAATACCAATGCCGCAGAATGCTGCTACACACAGCATTGTGTTCGGTTGAAGGTCGTATTGACCATATTGCATGTCAGGCTATAATCACCAAGCATCATAGAGCCACAGTCGCCACGGTGTTTCATGTTCGACCTGAGTCCGAATGCAGCGTGTGTAATTAGCCCGGAGCCACTACACACAAATTACCTACCTGGGACGTAATTTGTTCTGTTTTTAGAATTTTAGTTAAAATCATGGGTCCTATTTATTGTTCAAAGGGCATGTGCGACATTTGTGTTTGTGAACATTGATTTACCCACAATTCAAAGCGCTCTTCTAATGGAAATCGCGAGTACGTGTTTTCACCTGGGCGCGACGTGCATTAAGTACCACCGATGACTCGTTCGGTGCCTTCCAATCGCCAATCTTTGTTCATATGAGACCCATATTTTGCATATGGGTGGCGCGACGACTATCGCCTTTTAAGATGGATAATAGTAATTGCGTACAAGTGAGAGATCCCGTGTGCGAAGCGTCGGGACTGCGTCGACACTGACGCGGGCCGCAATTTTACAAAAATCGAGAGCGAGTGGCTGATTGAGGGTCAAAGAGCGCTAAATCAGAGCCAATCAGCGAGCAGTTTTTAACAACTAGTAGGAAAATGACATTGTTTGGTACGCAGTGGAAGACGATGCGAAACTACACGATTGCGCCTGGTCGACTACCCAAGCAAAACACTTAACAGTAAAACAAATCAGAGACCAGCTTATTTACAATTTAGTTCTGCCGTGTATATATACTTCTATCTATCTGACAAATCGCACCCTTTCGGGAATATCGAAATGTTGTTCAAGCAAATATGGAAAATATTGTAAATTATGAACATTTGAGAGTTCTACTGGAGGAATTTTCGATCTCGCGTCGATGGTGTCCAGAGTTTCCCACATTTCCGTCTTTAGTTCTATTATAATAACAGAAAATAAAATACGAGTAATACTTTCACATTTTTCTTTATAATAAAAATACATCAACTTTGCATTTTACGAGAAAGTGCTAATTCTTCAAAAATAAAATGTGTTCTTATGTAGAGGGATAGGGTACTTCTCAGTGTTTGGAAGAAGGATGACGATCTGTTTCCATCGTCCGAACCGCACGGTTTCGTTAAAGCCGGTCATTCATAACCGGCCCACGAACCCGTGCGTGATCGTGTTAAGAAAAGCTGTATTTCACTGCAGTTAAATTTAGTTATTTGATTGGGCGCGTCAAGGGGCTGGCGCCACCAATCAGCGTTGCTGTATCATAAATGTGAACAATGGCGGCTTTGAGCTGATTCACCGGGATTCAAGAACAGAAGGTCTATATTCGTTGATACGTTTCGAAAAAAAAATATTCCAACGTTGAAAAATGTTTGTGGCAAGTGAATGCAGACGATGGAATGTCTAAATATTTGGGCAAACTGACAAAACTGTCGAAACATATCGACTTGCCCGATCCAGTTCCGTTACAACAAACACATCATTCCCTCAAATACAGCACTAATTCGCTGGATTTTATTTTCACTTATAATAATAATTTTATTAATTGTATAATGGCCTCCGGCCCATTACAATCATGCAAATTATTGACAAGAAATAAATTTACATTACAAAATATGTATGAAAATATAGATGAAGAGTGTGTCAATACATAATATAAGCCCTATATAATAATGTGATGGGGATATTAATATATATATACATACAAGCTTATTAGGTTATTCTCATTTGATCTTTGATTAAAAAACACTTATAAATAAATAGAGCCAAAGAGTTAATGATTTGGCTTTTAGAGGAACTTAATAGTTGTACTAGAGTATTCAAATTTGGGGGTTGTGTCTCATTTGGAAGATATTTTCACTTAATCATTCCTATAGCGAAAATTGTACTTCACAGTAATGTGTCGTTTCTATCATGAGTTCTGATTGTAATGCAATGCAAATGAACCTTATAATCGTTTGTTGAGACTTTGGCCGAATAAATGGTCCTTGGCTGCCGAAGATGATCTGGTTCATGTAGATAGTTTAACCACAGTCAGCTGGCTCACACGTGATAATAAAATAATCACGATATTTACTATATGGGGGACCGCCATCTTGAATGCAGCGTAAAACTAAATTATGTTAGACTCTATCATGCTTATACAAATATGCTTGAAAACAAATGAAAGTAAATGGATGTAATTGTTTTATTTTTATTCAATTCCATTTCCAATATCAACTAGATCTTTGTGGTTAATACCACAAATGCGAACACACTCGAAGGAATGTGAGAAAAAACACATGTGGTTCTCCCCATTCGATACAAATCCTATCCTGAGGCTCTTAATTTTAAAGTTTTAATTAACAAGTATCAACGAGACCGTCGTACGTCAATACAACTTGCCATTCATGTTTTCTTCTGCATAAAATTAACAACTCTTATGTTTCATCATATTATTGCATTAAAGCTGGGAGGTCGTTGCCTGTGCACGCGCGGGAATTGAGTCCCAAGCGATGATAGCAACACACGCTAAGAACGCAAAGGCTCATGGGTAGAAGCTTGTTTGTAAACAATGGCATGCTATGGCCATCTGGCGCATGCATAGGTGACGACTCCCCCGCTTTAATCACCGAATTACCGCACATGCGCGAAATGTGGAATCGATCTCAACAAAGAGCATGGCCATGTTGATGCTTGCGCAGCTCGACACCTGTAAAATAATTAAAGGGCAGCGGTCGTCGCGCACCACGTGTTTCAATTTCGTGTAAACAAACAATGTATTTTACAAGTGTTGTATACGTCGCTATGAGAAAATCGCCATTTATCAACACAAAACTCGGTTATATGTGGCGCGACGACCACGCCCTCATCATATTTCGACTGTTTCAAAAACAGAATCTGTCATATTTTTCAATGTAACTGATTTTTCGGTAACAGACGGAGGCAGCTCTGGTATAGCGTCAGTCGACCAAGTGGCGTTTTCTTTGACATGGGACCCACAAACGTCATCGTTAGACCTCGAGGCCCGCTACAAAATCCCATGCTGTCTGTATATCTGTCACCATTCGACTGAGACGGCACCTAACATAAATGACGTCATTTGTGCACATCGTGTCACCATAATAGCGCATGAAGTCATCCAATCGCCACGTATCAATAAGTTTCAAATATTTTGTCTGTTTGTCTTGTAATGGCTCAGACCACAGGCTTCCAAGGATGTGATTAGTCAGTTCGGCCACGTGGGGTAGCCTATGCAGGTCCCTCGCTTCTGATAGGTCGAGCAGCTCGTTGTAGTCGTTTGTTATCCAATGCGGCCACGGAACGTCATCGAATCTCACTATGTTGTCATGGTTTACTTTTTCCTGTGAAGACAAATATATGCAAATATTGCATGCGACAATATATATTCGTAAATGGCCGCCGAGATCTCATTGAGAGTGATAAGGTCACGAGACTTGTATTAACCCTCAAGTAGCGTTTCGTTCTCCAGTCGAAAGTCAGAATTTGATACGTCATAAAGCCTGTCATGAAACAAGCTGCCATTTCATTGGTCTGATTGTTAAGTGTCACGGTTGGGTAGCCAATCGGACATACTCTTGCAAGTAGCTTCGCAATAACTCCCTTTCTCTGTTGCCATTGCGTCCACTGATCCAGATACCATGGTTACATAGGGTAAGGGCAAAGCAATGCATTATGGGATGTTAGTTTAAAAAAAAAAGTAAATAAATTGTCGCTCAAGCTGGTCTAGTCTGACGTCACTTAATGCGTTGATGCACCCTTGTCGACGAACTCGCTTGGACGCAAACATTGTCGGCGAGGGCGTAGCAATTTACACCCAACTTATTACTGGTGGGTACTTGTAATGTTTTCATTATTCAATATACGGAGTGAGTGTATATATATCCATACCTT